GAAAATGATGCTGCTCAGTTCCCAAAATGGTGGTTAATAATAGGGTTTTCCCTAGTTTCCTTTTCTGAATAGTTCTATTGACCTTTATATTGGCTTCAGTTTTGTTTACTAAACACTGCACTTGTGCAACAGTCCAGCTCCATTAAAGCGTTTATTTATAGGGAAATGGAAACGGATGAGGGGAGGAGAAGAACGGAGAAGCTAGTGTATCAGCATCCCGCAGCTTAATTGTGTTTTATAGTTTTTTAGAGACTCAATGTGCTGAGATTAAAAAATAAAGAGCCACTATCAGATAGCATCAACTCTGCATATGCTGTTTCTTCTCTTGTATAGAAAAGTGTTGAGCTGCTAGCAAAAATGATTGCTATTGAAAAATATTTTGGTATTATATAACACAATACTAGCCGTTCTCTATTTTAATACTTTGAAAGCATTCAGCAAAGTTAAAAAGTTTCCTGTAAGAGGAACAAGCCAATAGAACTTAATAGAAGAGTATTAGTCACTGCATCATTTTTTGACAAGGTAAATATTTTGATGCTTCCATTTGCCTAATTCATTAACTTCCTTTCATGAAGGAGCATGTTTTTTTTAAATCTAAAGTTCTACACACAAAGTTGTGATACCGTGTTCCCTCTCTTCTAATGTAATGTCGATTGTGATAAAGGATATGAAGTGCAGACTGAAGATTTATTAAATAATTTGAGACTGAATAAATTAGATCCTTTGTTACAGAGAGGGGATGGATACAAACTACAAGAAACCATAGTAATAATATTTATTTTAGTGCCTATGTGCAACATGGGACAATAGTGTTTGTATGGCAAGTGCAATTCTATTACTTCCTTATGAATTATTACGCTAGCATATGTATATGTTATTATTACTGCTGAGCAAAATTAAATACATGTTTATGCAAAGACAGTGAGAGACTTTTTAGAAGAGGGTATGCAAATAACGTCTAAAAAGAGGTTATTCTTCTAAAAAAATATATAAATAATATTTGAGAAAGCATGACCAATAAAGTCTATAAAACTTTCTTCCAAAGACCTAAGTAATCCCTAAGCAGTTTCCACAACTACAAAATGAAAGGTCAGTGTTGCGTATGTAGGGTCTCCTGACAGTAGCGTGCTCATTACCCTTCTGAACAATCATAGTAAGTTTGGTAAGAGAAGTAACATTGTTTGTGAACCATGTTTATTTATATCCTCACCTGCTGGACTCTGATTGCCATAATAAACAGCAACTTTAGATTACAGACTGCTTGAAATAGCCTGAAAAATATTCTAGGAAACTAAAAATGCTTGCAGCTCTGCTGCTCTAACTTTACAACTGTTGGTTACCAAATTCTAGCAGCTCCCAGGAGAGGCTGCGCTCTGGGACTACCGAGGTCCACTGCTGGGCAAACAGGCAGGCGGGCAGGCTGTAGGGGTGGCTCCTTTGTTGGGGATAGTTTGGCCCATCCACGCAGAGATTTATGAACTTTACTAAAATCTTTGTCCTCCTTGTCTTAGCAGTGTCATGCAACGGCAGCCGTACGCAAGGGAGAGGGCGGTAGATGAAAAGGTGGCAGTGTGTAATGTTAGAGGCAACACTTACCAGGTTACAGCATGTAAAAGCTTCATCCATGTAAGAAGTGGGGTTTTTTTTCTTTACTAACACCGAAGCGTACTGCAGAATCCTTGCGTGTTCAGCTGCCTGCAAAGCAGAGGTGTGGCTGTGCCGAAATGGTCTGAGTGAAAAAAGTGTGTGCAAGAAAGTTAAAAGGTCCTTTACAAGGCAACAGCTGCATTTCTGTTTAAACTTACAGTAACTAAATATTCTTATATTGTCAATATTATCCAACGTCTCTGCTGCATTATACATACATACACACCAGTCAAAATAACACAAAATTTTCTGTTAACATTCCCACTAACTCAAAAGCATTAGAACTGTCACTGATCACACTTGAATATTAATTAACCTTTGGGGAAAAACGATTTTTTTTCTTTTTTTTTTTTTTTTTCTGTAGAGTAGTTAAAAGACATCCATTTTCATAACTGAAAAGACATCACAACTTCTCTGTATATGATAGTTATGCATATGAAGGCAACAAAATTAATTAAGGTCTAGATTAGCTTCCATTTCCCATCTGCCATGTGCGTAACAATTACAGCCATCTTCTCGTCCCTCCTGGCAGGCCAGGGGAGAAGCAGGAACCGCTCTGTTAGCAACAGCACACTGAAGCAACCAAGCCTGGAAACAGGGAGATGGTCCCCATTCAGAGTTATACCTGTGTGGATCAGCTGGTGAACTGAGCTGCCATGGAAGAACAGATCAGGCAATGAAAATGGCAGAAGCTCAGAGGAAAGGTGATCGATCTGGAGGTATTTTGTGCAAGAGGCGTCACAACAGAAACATTTTTTTTTGTGGTCACCATGCTAAGAGTGTTAGCGGCTGGTTTAGGTGGTGCCTTGCTGTAACAGGGAGGCTGAAGCTGAGCAGAGCTGCCTGGAGTGAACTGCTGACTGAAAAGGTGTAACCAGCCAGAGGACAGAGGAGGAAGCACCGCAACATACAGCAATTACAGCTTAGCAGGCATTATTTTATCTCTTTTGAAGGTGGTAATGAGGTCCCTGGAGCCCACCTCCTCTCCAGCTCTTTGTACAGGACGATTTTTTTCCATCTTGTCCTATCTTCTGCCTTAGCTGTAGTCATCGGAATGTACAAAGACAAGCACTCCCAGCTATTAAAGTATATTTTGGGCTGACCTGGTATTATCACCTCTTGGCAAGGTTGCCTGATATTATGAGTTATATATTTGCTAAATGACAATTATTTAGGCTGAATTTTCCTACATTGAGTACTGCCTCAAGCAAACACTTTTGGTGGAGGGTAGTATCAGACCAGATAGTTTAGCCACTTCTGAAGATAAGGTTAGGAAAAGTACACTTACTCATACTGAAAATAAATCCAACTGCCCTGCCAGGGCAATGTCATTTTTGCAACTGTTACGGACATAAGAGTAAGATTTTGGGCAACTACAAAGCTGCCAAAGGTATAGTGACCTCATGCTTTGCTTCTTCCTTCCTAAGTCAAATGAAGGCAGATCTTACTTTCTCCTCTCCACAAGAACCAGGTGTGGTCCTTCAGCAAGTATGTTTGCAAAAGGGCTTTGAAGGCCTTTTCTTCAAAAGCTGTGTTACCTCAGGGGTACAGGACTGGTGTTTGGGTGGGGAAAGCTGATGTGGGGACAGGCAGCCCAGGGTGACACTAGGCAGAGGTGGGACACAAAAGCGCTCCCTGTGGAGGGACAGCCTGCACATGGCAACACCTTCAGACTGAGGTATCAGGGTGGCCCCAGTGGTGAAAGGATAGTTTGGTGAGAAAACATTAAGTAGTCCTTATGTGGGCCTCTGAGCGCCTTTTGGGAAGCATCTGTTGACACCAAGAAATATTAAACATGAGCACATTGGTTCACCACGTGGAAAGAAGAGAGAAGTCAGGTGAGAAATCTGGGAAAAGAGGCCCCAAATGTACGCCATAGCTGGGACCAGGGGCAGGCCAGGAAGAAGGAGGAAGGGTGAGAGCTGAGATGGAAGATGCTGAGGTAATACAGGGTGGAAAGGAATGAGAAAGCAACAGGAGGCAGACAAGGGGATGTTCTGAAACAGCAAGTTGTACAAATTAGAAGAGGGGATAAGCATTTACACAAGAAATGCTAAGGCATTTCTTCAATTCTAACATGTGTTTTGACTATAGGTGGTAAGATGCAGGCAGTTGAATTGGGGTACAAGAATCATGATTCAGAACTGACTGGAAAAAAAAAAAAAGTGGACCAAGGCAAAAGAATTTCCAAAAATACTTGATGTACCCTGGGATTTCTCATTATTCTTAATAAGCACTAAATGAAAGATTGTGGGAATATACCTATTCTGTTTCTATTCCTTTGTGTCTTTACATCAGAAGGAAAAACAAAAAATGAAAAATGCTCAGGCCAGTGCAAGGAAAAGATGATGAAAAATCAAAAAACCAAAGCACTGGGCACACGGACTACCCTGTAGCCAGTTTTCAGGATCCCTCTGAGCACTGCAGGGCAGAGAGTGCCCTTCCTGTCCCTGAGCTGGGTGACCCCAGTGTGTAAGTGGAGGTCAGGTTTTCAGTTTTTTTGGCCATTTGCCATGCCGCTCCTCCACATGGGAGGAGTGACTCCCTGTAAGGAGGGTGAGAGTTGTTTTCTCCTTGCCTGAGGGGGCATGTGGGTTCTCTGGACACCATTCTCCCTGTAAGCAGAGAAGGGCCCATTACCCCCCAGTCTTCTGCCTCCTGGGCAGTCCGAGCAAGGTGACAGCCCTGTACTCAGGCTGCGTTACAGCATTTGCCGTCTGGCAGCCTATGAAGCTCCTCAGCACGCTGCAGGCCTCCACACTCCTGGTCCGCAGGACACTCTCTGTCTCATGGAGTATAGAATCATAGAATAGTCTATGTTGGAAGGGACCTTTAAGATCATAAAGTCCAACCATCGCCCCAACACTGCCAAACCCACCACTAAACCATGTCCCTAAGCACCACGTCTACCCGTCTTTTAAATACCTCCAGGGATGGCAATTCCACCACTTTCCCAGGCAGCCTGTTCCAATGCTTGACAACCCTTTCTGTGAAGAAATTTTTCCTCCCATCCAATCTAGACCTCCCCTAGTGCAACTTGAGGCCATTTCCTCTTGACCTATCATATTACTTGGCAGAAGAGACCAACCCCCACCTCACTACCGCCTCCTTTCAGGTAGTTGTAGAGAGCGATAAGGTCTCCCCTGAACCTCCTTTTCTTCAGACTAAACAACCCCAGTTCCCTCAGCTGCTCCTCATAAGACTTGTGCTCTTAGACCCCTCATCAGCTTTGTTGCCCTTCTCTGGACATGCTCCAGAATCTCAGTGTCTCAATATGACCCAAATGCAGTAAGTGGGGCAACCACCTCAGCGTGGCTGCCTGGGCCTCCCTCCCTCTTCAGAGAAAACCTTCGATGACTGTGTCATTGCGCATGAGGCCTGTGCGCTTCACCTCTGACATGAGGCGGTACGCAAACACACAACTCTCGCCGTCGCATGGGGCTCGGCGCCGAGGTGAAGGCCCCACCGAGCACTGGCACTGCGCCCGCGGCCTTTGCCCGCCTCATCGGCGACCGCCGGGCGGGA